CCCTTTAAGTTCATCGAGAGATGGAATTTTAACCCCTTTTGGTAACTTAAGAAAATTGGTCGCAAGCAAATGATCAAAGATGTCATCTGCCTTAGTTAAATCGAAAGAGTATTTCCCGTGAAGGTCTTTCTTTTTAAACTGCTGGTCAATTGTTGTATCCTTATGAATCAATGCTTCACAGATCACAGGCTCTTTCCCCACAATCTCTGTTGCATCAATCTCATAGTTAGGATCTTTGTAGTATGTCTTGTATGATGCATTATTTCGATTTTGCTCCTCTTCTAGCAATGCTTCATATCTAGATACTTTGTAAGTCAGTTCCATTAAATCCTTGAATTCTGTTGAGTCGAACTTTTTTCGAAGCCTAAACTCTAAACCATTTTGAGCCAATCTTACAAACTCTGGCTCTGGGAGAATGACTCTACATTTATTCCGAGCCCTTTTAAATCTGGCAATAAACTGAGTAGCCTTTTCTTCAGGGCTTTGACTCAATCTTGCCAAGTCTGCCATGGAAACTTCTGGCTCTGATTGGAAGAATTGGGCATGAAATGCCTCTTCCATTTGGTTGCCTAAGTTTGGATTGAAGCCAGGTGTAAGGTTAATGTACCATACAAATGCTCCCCAGTTAGAGAGTTTGGGAACAGTCTTAGCTTCATATAATCATTATTAGTGAATTCACTGCATTAAACAGGCGAACCTAGCGATGTGCTTCTACTGTTAGACTGGTTTTCCATTCCATAAAAAAGGGCGAAATCTGGTATCCTGAAACCTCTTGGGTATTCATGTACCCTATCTACCATCTCTCCGGTCCAGCGTTTTTTGTATACAGGAGTCTGGACCCCCCGAGCCATCGGTCCACACATCTCCCTAACGATGTCAGCAATTTGGTCCATAGGGACCATATTTTGTGCCTGCTGAACCACCGCTGGAGGAACAAACACAGGATTTGGTGGACAAACTTGTGCATATAGTCCTCTTGGTCCATAAGGTGGCATGTTTGGGACTGGTTGTCCCCGTGGTGCAGGTTGTTGTTGGGGGTGTGGGTAACCATTTTGAATTTGTCCTACAAAAGGACCTGCGAAAGGTGCTGGAACTGGTGTTGTGTCTCTTCCATTTGTAGGAAAACCTTCCAACCCCCCGGGTATAAATTCGAATAAGGGATTAGTGAACCCCTTTGTACCAGGTATGGCTTCGAACATGGGATTTGGAACCATTCTTATGCCATTTTCTTGTACTGGACCAGTTCTACCAAATTGCATGGCTTCACTGTTAAGTACTGAGACATTTTGACCTACTACAGGCCTTGGAACAGTTTCGTACGAAGACTGAGGTGATGGTCTTTCATGGTTCTGATTACTAGTTTGACCATTAGAATGTCCATTAACTTGCATAGGTTGTTTATCTCTAGCCAATCTTTGTTGAGGGACATTCGAAATTTCCTCCATGTGTCTTACATTTGTTAGTTGGTGGTTATTCATTCGATCCAAAAAGGATGTTGCCCACCTTTCCATTGTGTTCATTAATTGCTGTCCCATTGCATCTATTAAGCCACTCCATGGATTCATTGGCTGAGTAGATGGGACAGTGGATAGTCCAATTCCTTGGTCTCGTCCAATATTACGAACATATAATATTTGCTCTGAAGTACTGGTTTGTTCGATCATAGGTTCCGATAAAATAGGAGTTTCCACAGGATGTGTTATCACATTATCCTCTGGATTAGGTATCTCTACCTCTCCTTCCACGTCTTCTTCCAAGCGTTCATTTTCTCCTTGTCTTCTATGTCTATCCATTTTAAATGTGGTCCCACTGGGCGTGTCAAAAATATATGTTGGCTTTTTGGCTTCCGAAGGTTATTGTTGTAATTGCGAGCGTGCCAGCAAGGATCAATTAGTCCTTACAGAAAATTAATTGCCAACCAATTATCAGACGATTGTGTTTTAGTTCTTTCAGCCTCAATGAAGAGGACTTTTACTGGTGGCTTGATTTTGGAGAATTAAACAGATAACAATCAATTGAAAAACAGTCGAAATATTTCATTAAGATGAAAAGACTTACAATGATCCAAACTCAGCATCGTAGAGGTTTACAGAAACTCTACTTGGAACTACTTAGAGGTGTAACTTGGGTGGGCTCAACCCGAGCAACCTGAGCCCATCCCGAGTTTTTTTAGGGCTTGGACAAAATATTTTTAAATTCGGTGCAGGCTTGGGCAAAAATTTAAAAGTCCGAATTAAATTTGGGCGGGCTTAGGCAAAGACGTCAAACAACTCGAGCAACCCGAAACCCGAATTATACATATATAGATATATAAAAATATTAAATATACATATAAATTATTAGCCATTACATGATATTAAAATAATTTAATTATTAAATCATATTGAATGTATATTATATATACAAATAACATAAAATCTTACTTTTTTTCTTTTTATTTTCACTCATAAGTTGTAAGGACTACTATAGTAGCATATCTCTTACATTATATAAATTATTTGTTTTGATGGTATTAATAATTTTCTATAAAAAAATAAAAAATAAAATCTAAATAGAGTCAAAATTTAATAATTTAATAATGTAGCTGCAAAAAAAAAATACTAAAATTCATTTATAATTCGGGCAATTCAGGCAAATCGAGTAATTCGGGTTTAACTCGGGTCGGGCTTGGGCAGATATCCTCGGGTTACAATTCGGGCTTGGACGGGCTTGGGCAGGTCTCAGCACAACTTGGGCTGGGCTTGGACAACCTTTCAACCCGATCGAACCCGCCCGAGTTGCATCCCTAGAACTACTCCTATGAAATGAAATGCAGTGCAGGAATTTTAAAGTACAGTAATGTAAAGAACTGTAAATGTAAAAAAAAAACTGTAAATGTAAAGCTGGAAAGGAAAATAAGTATAAAGGACTGATTTTTTTGGATCTGAGTCCGGGGGCTTTTTCTAGGGCCTTCTCTACTATTTATATTGCTCCAAGATGACCATCGAATTGCATTTCTAACCGTCGAACTGCTCCTCCATGATCATCGATTATTTTGCCCCAATATTAGCTCCATTACGCCATTACTTGCAATTAAGCTTCCCTCCTAAATTTGAATCTGAAATGCGAGTAACCGTTGAGGCCACGTCACTTTGTATCTCTTTGTTGATCCGCTGCTACCACTACAAGAAATTTGACTTTTAGCGGCGTTTTAAAAACGCCACCATATGCTTGAAAAACGCCGCAATAAGTTTTTGCAATGTTTAATATTTTCGTCGTAGATACGGCCGCCGCAATATCTTAGCAGCGTTTCAAAAACGTCGCTAAAAACATTAGACGGCGTTTTTCAAAACGTCGCAAAATCTGTAACAGCCATCTACTTTTCCGTCACAATTAATATATGATGTAATGATGACGTCATTCAGTGGCGTTTTTTGAAAAACCGCCACCTTTTTTCATTTTTACTACTTACCTCGGATGTGATGTCATGATGACAACATTTAGTGACATTTTTTTTGAAAACGCTATTTTTTTTTAAGAATACAGCCCAATTAATTGAGAATTTAACTAAGAATAGAGATTGAGATTGAGAATTAACTGAGAATTTATATAAATTTAATTAGGAACAGAGATTGAAAATTAACTGATAATTAGTATATAACTCAAATTTAAATTACAATGCCAAATTGAAAACCATAAAAATTCTAGTGTATCTCCTTACATATTTAACCCTACAACTTTCCAAATCTCAATCATATACTGTCAAACAATTTGAATTTTCTTCAAATCACCCCCTCATTTTTGTTGTTTAGTGCAAATCTTCAAATCTTTACTTTGCAACCAGCAGAAGTCAATTTGTTGACACTATAATAGCCTGTTCAAAAATAAAATGAAAATGTGAGCACATCCAATCAACAGATAAACAAACTTACAACCAAAAAAAAAAGGCAACACTTACTTGCACCAGTTCAATTATAAAGCCTGCACCCAAATTTGCAAATTCAGATCCAGAGAGAAGAAATAGTTAGCAAGATTATACAAGTTACTCATTCATGGGCCAATGCTTATTTAAGGAACAAGCTGGCCAATTTTAGAAATTACACTGCAAAGTGGAACATCACCAATTTCTCTCTCCCTCGAGATGATATCCCCAAATTCAACCTCACAAAATAAGTCAAGGAAACAACAAATTAAGTCAGAAGGAGGAGGAAGACCAAAAGCCAAACTCATAAAAGTGAACTATTGAGAAAAAAACAAACAAACCTCAAAAGACCAATGGTGTCGGTCTAGTGAAGGAACGTCCTTGAGAATGAACAATTGCCATTGAGCCTAGTTGGAGATTAGTCACACTTTCACCTACAGTCTCCACAATTCTAAGAAGGGACAATATAATTGAAATTGACTTGTGGTGTTCGATTAAATATTAGAAGTGACCTGAAAGCTAGTTAATTGAATATTTATGCCAATGTGACATTCACCTAGTCATTAAAAATTGTCTTGATTGTTTAAAATTATCTTTATCGGTTTGTAACCGAGATAAGTTAGTTTGAGGGTTCCAATATTAGATTAAATATTAAAAATGAGTCTAGAAAATTTAGTTTGAGTCGATTTTTTTTTCAACAATTCTTGGTTTAATCATATAATACATCTTATTTTAATAACTCAATATAATAATAATAAAAAAACAATTACCTTAATGTTTTTGGTGCTTTTTGTCAATCAATAAAAATATTTATAAATATTAAGAGAATTATATTTGAACAAATTCTAACATAAATTTTTTACTTTAAAACTCTAAGACCTACACATTTTGTTTGATTTTATCTACATCACTAACCTTTGGAGGTTTAATGAATTTTTTTTTAATGGAATCTCAGTTTGCTATAATATAGATATATAGATTGGAATATTGATGCATATAAATTATTAAACATTAAGAAAAAAAAAATATATGAAAGATGTAGGTTAATTCCTATATTTTAGTCGTATCAAAATTCAAATTCAAATTTATATTTTAGTAGTGATTTCTTTTTTCTTTCTTTTTTAGTAGTAGTCTCCACAACTCAACAGTCAACCAGACATAGAAGGAGGATCAAATTAAGTTGAAATTATCTGTAGCCGGATGTATTATACAAAACACATACGTAAAAAGATAATTAAACTGGTGACTAGCTACAATTTAGTTCACGAGACTTGTTCACAACCAGAAACACATGTAGTATGGGAAATATGGTAAAAGTAGAAAAGGTAGTACCTGCCCTCTTCCCATTTCTTGAATAGCTTTGTGGAATATTTGTTCACTGTTACAGGTTTCTATCAGGTGGTCGATTGTCTGATACAGTAAAAAAAAAATTCAGTTAGGATAACATCCATAGTTCCATTTCACCATTACAGCCCAAATATTGATCTCATTATTTTGGCTCACTTCTTCATCTGGTCTGGTTCCTGTGACTACTTAGTCATCTCAAAATTAAAACACAAAGTGAAACATAGCCAATAAAAACAAGATCAGCCAGCAACAAGCAAAATGATTACGAAAGACATCATTCTAACATCAAATTTTAACCGTAATTTTTGTTTATATGCATACAGCAATATTCAGACCTGTTATGAGCCTTCGCTCCACGACCTCACGGTATTCATCTTGGATCCTTTGTCTCAGAGTCTAATCAAGGAAATTCAGTTAGTGAATGAAAAGAAAGCAACTACCAAAATGAATATATATCCAAATATACCTGAAATTCAATCATTAGGTCCCTGAACTTTTTTGTCAACGCACTACGTTTCAAGAAAATAATTAAATATGATTCTAAAACAACATATGTGCAATAATCTGAAATTCATATGTTGCAGAAGAAACACACTTTGTCATATTTGTCCTTGATCGATCAACACCTGTTCCCTTTCCACATCCAGGTTTCTGTCGATTGGCTAAGTTCTAAAGAGAAAGAAGAGCGAATCAGTACACACTGCCATACCAGGCTAACTACCATCAGATAACATTTTGATAGACATAAAAATAAAGGAATTAAGAAATACATCTTTGCTTATTGCTTCTAATTTTGCTTTGACATTTCGTGCAATCTTTCCCACTTCATCAACATCTTTCTCCATTTGCTTTTTGATTGCTGAAAATGAGAAATCAGATCAGATTGTTACAGACAAAGAACTACAGCAAATATGAGCAGTTAGCTAACTAAACCTAAAATTTTGTCAACCAGTTGCTGAAAAGGATAAAAAAATTTCAACTAGTTGCTGACTAGGCGAATATCACTACATAACTAGCTAAGATAATCTAAACTGCATTACTCAGCATGCCACTGATGCACAGAGAATGCGGCAATGAGATACAAGTGCATGATAATCACCTTGCAACTAAAACATTTCAGCATAAGACTGAAAGAAATAAAACAAGGATTTGACCTTTCATGGATGAAGCTTTTGTAACAGACTTTGACTCCTCATTAGCATCCTGCAGGCAAGGGCTCACATTTTGAGTTTCTAAAGTTAAATTAAAGTATGATTTCCAGAAAGAGAAAAACTAATATTGCATCATTTGGTTCATGCAAAAGCATGAATAAGCATATAACCCATGCTTAGAGAACTTAGGCCATGTTTGTTTGGGTAGACATGAGCTTGGGATTGGACCAATAGTCTAATAAAATTATTAATTCGATGTTTGGTTAAACAATTGAAGTACGGACTAATTATTTTAAACTTGACTATTAGTTAAGATAGGATACATAATCCAACGGATTCGTAATCCTAGGACTATTAGTCATGGGAATGCTAATCCAGTCCGCCCAAACAAACATAGCCTCTAAGTAAGTAGGTGAAGTAATCTATCTGCATAATCCGAGAGGCTCCGTTCGACTTGCTTCCTTGCTAGACATCCCTTTGAGCTGCTGCATCCACCTGGCATGCCAACCCCACTGCAAGTGCT